TACTGTCCTTTATAAGAACATAAGAGAAGCCAATATTGGATCCCATGGCCCATCCAGTCCAACAGTTTGGTGTAGTGGTTAAGTGCATGGACTCTAATCTGGGAGAACCGGGTTTGATTCCCCACTCCTCCACTTGCAGCTGCTGGATGACCTTGGGCAAGCCATAGTTCTGTCAGAGCTATTCCTGAAAGAGCAGTTTTTGAAAGAGCTCTCTCAGCCTGACCTACCTCACAGGGTGTCTGTTGTGGGGAGGGGAAGGGTGTAAACCGCTCTGAGACTCTGAATAAAGGGTCAGGTATAAATCCAATCTCCTCCTCCTCTTCTTCTCCTCCTCCTCTCTGTCACACAATGGCCCCAAATACCAGTTTCTAGGAACCCTCTTCTGCATGCCATCTGGCAATACATTTTAAGGCACGCATGGCCCAGCCCAACAAAGTGACATTTATGTCAGATCCAACCCTTGTAACAAATTAGTTTGACACCTCTGATCTAGGTGACAGATGTTACTCCTTTTTCTGTTCTGAACATGACATAGGGCACATGAGCAGTTTGCCATGGCAGTATACCAGATCTAAATAAGCTGCTTGAGTTTGGGACACTTTGCATCTACCACACAGTGCCCCCTAAGCTGGCATCATAGTACCACGGTCCTGTGGTTGGTCATTCACATAACACGCCACAACCATGGACTTGTGGCTAGGTTGTTGTTGTTGTTTCCTAAGTCCTGCGGTGCATGTACAGAAACAGACAAGCACACACATGCTCCTGGCCACATTCTATGGGGGTGCTGAAGCGCATGTCAGAGAGGGGTTGGGAAAAAAGGATGTGCCAGAAACAGAGTGAAATGATCACACCACTCATGCATTTCTATAGCACGCCTGGGCGATCAGACACCCAGAAACCCACCATGGAAGCAACTCGCCGAGGAAGCCACCAGAATTTGCTGGTGGCTGTTTAATCCTCGTGGGAGTCATTTTAGCACCAGGTAGGGACGACTGGATGCAACGAACATGAAATTAAGCAAACTCCAGAGGATGGCGGAAGACAGGAGGGCCTGGTGTGATGTGGTCCATGGGCTCAAGAAGAGTTGGACTCGACTGTGTGACTGAACAACAACAGGGACGACTGGGGCATGGAAGCCAGATGTGTGCATTTGATTGCACCCATTTGATCCAGAGGGAAGGGGTGGCTATGCTGGGCAAAACTGCTTGTGTGATCACGCCCATAGTCCTGACTCTTCCTCCTCCTCAGGACTTTTGAGTCAGCTGCATGCATAGTGAGAAAGAATGAAAGAGAGTTCCTGGCAGTATTCCCATCTGTCCTTGTGACTCTTTGCTTCTGTCTTGAGAGTCACTGGTTGCGGTTACACAAATCAGAAAAAATGGGGGGGGGGATGAGGCTATTTCCTCCAAAGGAATTTGACCCACAGTTGCAGGACCAAATCCTCTCTTTGAAACTGTGGGCACAGTCCATCAATGTGTGATCAGATGCAACTGCGGGTGAGTTGTGGGGGGTTTTGTGCCATTTTTTCCCCATGTGCTTAGCCGAGGGATCAATGAATCGCACCTCTGCACAGAGCACTCCCTATGGAGTTTGCGATTATGTGCATACTGTGAAGGGGGTGAAAAACAATGGCACGGAGTTGGGATGGCCTGATCAGACCATCCCGACGCCATGAGAGCACGCTAGAGTGACCAGACACCGGAAAGTCCATCCGTGGCCTGTTGCAACCCGTTTACTACCGGGTGTCTTTCAATTCCACTTCTGCAGCAGAGCAGAACGGGTTGCCAATGGCTATGGGGCACTTCTCAGATGTTGTTGTCTGATCGCGCCCTTTAAATCCACCTGGCATTCGTACTTAGGTCAGGTCTAATCGTGTGTAAGATCGCAACAACTGACTCTAAAAAAAACTGATGACAGCCTGACATGGTGGCAGGATGGCTATCTTTGTCAGTCAGGAGATGTCAGCAGGGATTCAGTCCTTGTAGTCATTCATTGCAGGGAAGTGAAGGAAGGTGAGCACAAGAATCAGTCTATGCGGCTGCTTCCAATATTATAGCACTATCAGTATGTGTACCATTTAAAGTCACATGCCTTGAGCATGGAAGAAGGCACAGGATGTAGCAGCTTTGTTGAATCTAAGAAGCTCTAGGTCTGGTCAGTGTTTGGATGGGAGACCTGGGAACCTATGTTCTATGGAATAAAGTCATGATGTAAATGCAATAACCGGGGCTTTTTTCTAGGGGAGCACACCGGAACAGAGTTCTGGAACTTCTTTGACAAAATTCTTTTTTAAATGTGTAAAAGTTCGTGAGTTTTCATTTCCCTCTTGAGAGTTCTGGCACCTCTTTTTCAAAACAAACAAACAAAAAGCCCTGAATAAATCTAATTGCTAGAGGGTACTGATCCCTGGTACCCCTTGGCACAACAGAAAGCAGACCTATGCCAGATCCATACACTTTTGCACCAATCCCCAACATGGGCACAGTATCCAAATCATGTATGGATCCAGACCTAGCCTAGAGTTTGCAGCCCCAGTGGTCTCTGCTGAGTCAAAACACCGTGATTGGCACAGTTCCTCTCTCGTAACTGGGTGAGGATGGAAACAACCATCCTTGCTGACAGTTGCAAGAATGATTTAAAAGACACATTTCCCCCCCCCCAAGAAGTTTACATCTGACTTCCTCAAGCAAGCTTCCCTATTGCTTGGGCTCGGTGGGGAATCGCCAGCCCCAGTCTCCCACCCCTAAGAAGCAGAAGAGAAAGAGAACAGAATCCAGTGACGTTAATTCCTAATTTCCCCCTTGTCCTTCAGTTATTTAATATAGAGATTCCTAGAGCCTCAACCAGAAGTGATATCACATCCTCCCCAAACTCCACCCTCCACAGGCACCCCCCCCCCCAGATCTCCCAGCAGTTGCCCAGACACGTGGTGGGAACCCTGTCCCCAAGCCACAAGCCAGTTTTGCGCTGAATACATCATCCCACAAAAATGTTTATAGCGGCTTGGAAGAGTCACTGACTCATCCCAAGGAGGCGAATCCCTATGCGACATGGAACCTCTTAGGATGTCCCAAATGTCTTAACCAGCAGCCTCAATGGGGCAGCTGTTTTACTCAGGAAGGACCCGTGCATTTCACAACATTAAGACAGTCAGAAAACCAATGAGTGAAGCTTTCCATCACTGTATGTCTATCCCAAGGCAGGCTTCCAATGCTGAATTTCTGACTGTCATGCCACGGTTGAAAAAAAAAAAGCCCAAATGCCCTTTTCCCCCCTAACCCCCCCCCCCAGACTGTCCCAAGAACACCTCCTAACCCAATTTGCACACTTAATCTTGCCTTGGAGGAAAAAAATGTTTGCAAGGTTCAGGGTCTTGGCAAATTCTGCAGGAGGCCTTTAGCATGCAGAAGAGAGTTCCGAGTCTCACACCCCACATGCTCCTATGTAACAACTGCAAAAGCTAGCCCTCAGTTCACCAGGACTTGATTATTCCCCCTCCTGTTCTTCAGAAGTGCCTGCTCCCTCCAAGCTGTTCTGATTGTTGTCTGAGAGTGAGCAAAGCTCCCAACATCTCACTGAAACAGGCAGCAAAGTTATGTTTCCCGAGTGCCAAATGCTGTGTTGTTAATTTCAAAAAAATAATAATAATCCAGAATGTGTACTCCGGTTTCCAAAGGCGTGAGGCTAAGCAGGTCTAAATCTGCAAGGAGGCCATGTGGCTGAAGAAAGAAAGGGGAGGGGGGAAGGGCTGCTCCTTTCTTGTCGCCTTGGCGCCCTCTGTGGACAAAGAGGGGAAATGCTCCGGCTCAGCCCCAGACGTCAATGAGACGCCTATTAAGTACAAACAAGAATTCAAACGTGAGACTCTGCGGCGCGTGCATGTTTCTGGCTATCTGTGAGCCTCTTTGTTGGTGGGTGGCTGGCTGCAGTTCCATGGCCTGCATTGCCAGACAAAATAAGAAATGGCTTTTTTGCGGGGGCGGGTGTGATCATTAATGGAGTATCTGTTCGGAAAAGGGGGCAATGGCGCAGGCACTCGCGGTAAAGAACAACCGCTTGAAATTGCAGAAATTTAACTGCTATTGGTCCCCTTTCAGGGATTTAGCTGCATTTGGGAGCTACGTCGCAAAGCACGTTCCTAGCCCATTGCCCCTCCTTCCCCCGCTCCTGGGGAGCGGTCTGCAGCGTTCGTTTTGCTGTGCTACAAAGTTGCGGCTCCTTTCCCAGAGAAGCGAGCCCTTCCAATCCAACAAGGAAGAAGAGAGGGGCGCTGCGGCGGCGGCGAAGCGCACACCCCGCTGGGGGGAGGCAGAGAGATGCGGCATCCCTCAATCAGCAGCGAGGGAGTTCCTAGCAGAGCAATCCTATGCAGTTGTGACTCCGACCCTTAGGCTAGAGCAAAGCCTTATCGGTTCGAACTGTGAAAGAGTGATGGGGGGGGGGAGGGCTTGCAGTTTGGCATCCTGAGAAGGCGTGCGTGTTTTCATTAGCACTCTTTTGTGTGAAGCATTAATGAGGCAAGTTTCACGTGGCTGTCTTTTCACACGACTCGCAAATACGGTTGCTGGACAGGAGGATGTTGACCATCGATCGGATCGCGTCCTGCCAGGGGACGGTGATCATGGCGGCGGGCTGGCTGTCTCCCGCCCGCCAGCCAGCCCGCCACATCCCCACCCCCGACTCCAGCTTCAGACGCAGCGTCTCAACACTGCGAAGAATGACCTTTTTCTTCACGCCGCCCAGGACAGCAGCGAGAAAGACGCGCCTCGGAATTCCCGCCCTGCGCCCGTAAGGCCCCCTCCCTCTCTCCCTCCCTCCCTCTCTCTTCCCGTTCGCGTTCCACTTATGCATACACAAATCAACCTTCTCTTGACTGGTTGGAACGAGATATTCCTTTTGAAAAGCCGCCCCTCTCATTGGACCATGCAAATGAGAGAACCTTCCTCTCGCTTTTCTCTCTCCCCCCCCCCCCGCATGTAATACAGTGATGAGAATTTTTCAGACATGTAACTTTGCGCGTCTCTCTTACTATAAGCAAAATAGTTCCGAGCCGCTCCCCTCCCCTTGTCTTGACGACGGGGCGAGGTTCCGCAGTCCCCCAGCTTGGAGTCTTCCCGGCTCTCTTTAGGGTGGGAGGAGGGGGGGAAAGGAGCGCACAGAGACTTGTGTCCCCGCCGCCACCTAAACTCCCCCCGCGGAGGGATATCTCTGGGTGAGTGCGCGTGCTTTTTTTCCCTTCCCGCACCAAAATATTGAGAGTTAAGAGGCAGCTCCGCTGTGTAATTGAGCTCAGAAGAGAGCAGTGCCTGTCGGAGGCTGTGTTGCTGCTCGGGGGCTCCTGCCTTACTGCGGTGCTGGATTGCATTTACACTGACCCCCCTGGCAGCTTCCAAGAGGAGTGGATTTTATCCGGCAGGCTCCAGCCTTGGCTTGGGAAAAGACGGGACTCCGGGCGGCTGTAGCGAGCAAGAACCCAAGATCTTGGTCCCCCTTTTAAAACGAAGCCTTTGATTCTTCCGAAGGACAGCTTTTTCATCACATTCTGGGATTTTTAAATTTTTCTTTTCTGGCCGCTTCATTCTGGAAGTCCGTTTCTATCTTTGGAGGGAGGAGAAATTTTTTTTATATACATCTTCAACGCCCGGTGGGAGGGAAAGAAAAGGAGAGCGGGGGAGCTCCTGCTTCCCGAAGCTCCCTCCTCCTCGTCGGGCTTGGGCTGGATCCTGCGCCTCTGGTTTTGGCAACGCGACTGCTCGTCAGCAGGTTATTGTTATTTCGAAATTGATTTGCTGTGAATTGACTGAACTAAGACAGCGGGATTCCGAGCTTGATCGTTGGACTTTGGGGCTTTGGGTCGCGACCGCTGCCTGGAAGATGTTACTCTCCAAGTTCGGCTCACTCGCTCACCTTTGCAACCCAACCAGTATGGATCACTTGCCGGTGAAGATCCTCCAGCCAGGTAAACAAGTCGTGACATTTGTTCGGCTGGGGGTGGGGTGGGGGAAGAAGGATGGGGGGTGCCTTTCCCATAACATGGGCTTGGAGCGGCGGGGACTGGTATCGCGCGCATTGTGGCGTTTCAAAGATTTTCGCTGGGGAGAAAGGGAATCGAAAGGAGAATGAGGCTTATTTTAACACACACACACCCCATTTTTCACATCCAGTCATTATTGGAATTTGAATTTAAAAAACAGTTTCTGTTGATGAAAACAAATACTTGTAGCCCAGATTCCCACAATTGCCACCTCATTGCTTCCTGTGCGAGAAACCGGTCCCGACGCTTTTTTCCCCTTCTTCCTTCCTAGTGAAAGTGGAGAAGGAGCCGTTCGATAAAATCTATCAAGTGGGCTCCGTGCTCGGCAGCGGGGGATTTGGCACGGTCTATGCCGGGAACAGGATCGCAGATGGCTTGCCGGTAAGAGGAGGCTCCTGGCCCGTCTGTGCCCTCCCCTCTCCCGCCACGAGGCTATTGTTGCTTCCCCCCCACCTCCTCGTGTGGGGCTGGAGAGCCCAGGATCCCGGCCTCTGCCTCCAGCCCCCGGATCCCCAAAGCCTTGCCCAGCCGCTCCCCAGTCTGCTTTCTTCACCGTCTCTCCCTCCCTCCCTCCTTCCTTCCAGGTGGCGGTGAAGCATGTGGTCAAGGAGAGAGTCACGGAGTGGGGCACAATTGTAAGTATCCCATAGGGTGCCACGCATTTCACATCAATGTTCCTCATCGCCTGTATAAATCATGGTGGGGCAACGATGATTGTTTGGATGGGTTCCCCCCTCCCCCGCCCTCCATATTGCTGTCCTTCCAGACTCTGTTATTGTTTACATGGGGTGGTGGTGGCAGGGTTTCTTCTTCTCCCCGCCTGCCCTCCCCCTTTGACTGCGGCAGCAGCGGAGACACCCAGTGGAGTGGATTTGGACTTCCCCGGCACTCCAGCGCCCCCTCCCCCCATTGCTGTTGGAGATTCCATTTGCAAAAGACAAGACGCGTGATTTGTTTTCAGATGGGCAAGAAGGGGGGGGTCCCTGTCTGTGCTTGGTATCCCCAAAGCTTCATCATGTCTTCCTTTATTTTCTCTCCTTCTGGCAGGGTGGAGTAATGGTGCCCTTGGAGATAGTCCTGTTGAAGAAAGTGGGGTCTGGATTCCGAGGGGTCATCAAGCTGCTGGACTGGTATGAGAGACCGGATGGCTACCTGATTATCATGGAGCGGCCAGAGCTGGTGAAAGATCTCTTTGACTTCATCACTGAGAAGGGTGCCCTGGACGAGGACACGGCCCGGGGCTTTTTCCGCCAAGTCCTAGAGGCAGTGCGCCATTGCTACAACTGCGGTGTGGTGCACAGAGACATCAAGGATGAAAACCTCCTGGTGGATCTCCGGACAGGCGAGCTGAAGCTGATTGATTTTGGGTCCGGGGCTATCCTCAAGGACACCGTTTACACTGATTTTGATGGTGAGTACCCCTCCCGTCCCCAAAGCGTGTGCGTGTTGATGAGTGGTGGAAAGCACTTAGCCATGAAAGTGCTTCCACTGACGCATCCCCCGCCCCTGCGTCACATTTATGACACCTACTACTAACAAAAGATATTTCTGCTTTCACAGCCAGTAAGGGATCGGCTGGTAATTAAATCCTTTGCACTGGAGGAGGTTCGGGGGCGTCGCAGCAATTCCAGGCAGTGACGCAGCAGTTTATATTTTCCCTGCCTTGGAAAAAAAAGGCATTTTCCTAGAGGGCGATGTGTTTACAGTTGACTCAGCCTTTACCAGGGTTCCCATCTGTGCTTCTCCGTGTATAATTTTTTACTGTATTCTGATTTTTCCCCCTTCCCCAGTTTCCCTTATTTTTTCTCCCTTGAAAACCTGCACTGCAGATTGGGGTGGGGGTAAAAGAAATAACCCTTTCTGATCTGGAAAGGCTTGATTCAGAACATCAGAGTTGAAAATGTCTTTATGTTGTTGTGAGAAATCTATGATGTGCTTTTTGCCTGGGGGGAGTAGGATTTTCTTCCTTTCAAAGTGAATGTGATTGATGTAAATGAGGGACCTTCTCCCCTCCCTTCCCTAGTCAGCTGCAACATTTAACATCTGTTTGTTGTGAAACCAGAGCCTCCTAGCCATGTGACCTTCCACATCACAAATTCCAGTTTTTATTTGGTATCCAAGTAACAGCTCGGTGCAGAGGGAGGGCAGTTGCTAACCGTCTCTGTTGTATGAGAGGCAGATTTCACCGGCTATGATTGTATATTATTCTGATGGGGGGAGGGAGTGGTGGATTTAACATGCTTCTGGAATCAGCGAAAGCTGATTAGTCAAAGATAGTAACCAAGACCTGAGTTTCACCTTCTCTGCCACCCCCTTCCTCGTCCTTCTCTCTTTGTCCTTTTGTGTCTATTTTTGGTGTGGTGCTGCAGACGCCACGTGGTCAGGGAGAAGGGAGCTTTATGTTAGTAAACAGTCAGCTGACAGGAGCCGTGCGGTTCACTGCAACAGAATAGCACAACGTCAAGGGCCAAATTAAAGCATGATATAATCTTAAGGGTGACTTTAGTTTCTAGAATTTTCTTAGATGTATTTTGTGGGGGGCTTTTGGGGGGTGGTGGGTTTAAATATGTATTTTTTTTAAAAAAAAAAACCACCACAGTGTAATCCTAGTATAACCTTGATGCAGAGTTCTACTTGGCTAATGTCAGGGCTCTTCTATTTCAGGGACACGCGTGTACAGTCCCCCAGAATGGATTCGCTATCACAGATACCATGGCAGATCAGCTACTGTGTGGTCTTTGGGCGTTCTCTTGTATGACATGGTCTGTGGAGACATCCCTTTTGAACAAGATGAGGAGATCTTGAGGGGACGGTTATACTTCCGAAGACGAATTTCACCTGGTAAGCTGAGGCACTGAAGTTTCCATGTCACTCATTAGGCCCACCCCCTCCATCTTTTCCCACTGGCATTTGCCTTTTGTCCCCCCCCACCACCACCTTGTTCTAACCTGCTTTCTCCATATATTTCAGAATGCCAACAACTGATCAAATGGTGCCTTTCCCTGAGGCCTTCGGACAGACCAACACTCGAGCAGATTTTTGACCACCCGTGGATGCACAAATCAGAAATGGTGAAGTCAGAAGACTGTGACATAAGGCTACGGACCATTGACACGGACGTGTCTAGCACAAGTTCAAGCAATGAGAGCCTGTGAAATATTAAGGACCATGCAACAGGAGGGGAGCTACAAGCAGGAAAAAAAATTACAAGACCACAGTGCTGCTGCTGCTGCCAATATGTAGGAGGGGCTAGGAAAAAAAATGCATTCATTATTCTGTAGTTTGAATCTTATCTGAGGGACTTGATTTTCTAAAAAAAAAATTTCCCCCTTTTTGGCTGGTTTCTGCTTTGAAATGAAAGATTTCCTTTGGAAGTGCTGACGTTTGGGAGTTTGCAGGCCAGTACTTAGTCAAAGACTGACCTCTTTTTTTCTTCCTTCCCTTTTTCCTTTCTTCTTTTATATTAAGACAAAGCAGTGACCTCTTTAACATGGTAACCCTTTGCTCTCATAGAGCCGGACTACATTTTAATTTGCTTTTTTCAGTGCCTTTTTGAAAGCTGCTTCAGTGGGACTTTCTTTTTTGAGCTGTGTATGTCCAAAGAAAATCCAGGACATGATAGGATTTATGTTTATTTTTTTAAATTGTGCTCCCTTTCCGCGCTAAAAGGTGCCAGGGTGGGATAGCCAGTTCCTATGATGTCCTGGAGAACATGTTCAGTGATTGAATGAAGTAGTCCCATCCACTGGTGATGGAATACTTGAACACAGACATTTCAGTCCTTCCTGGTTTCTCCCCAGCCCTCCTTCCCCACCCTCCGAAGACCACCTCTGCTGTTCCACACATTTATATTTCCAGTAGGCTGCACAGACAGGTCTTTCAGCTGTTTTATCAGGAACACTTAACTCATATTTCCTTTCATCATCTCTACCACTGGGCACAAAAAGCCCTTTTCTCAACTCCCTCCCAACCTGCAAGTCTTAAAAAGTATGTATGGGCACAATCAATGCAATATTCAAGGACTTCGTGTGTGTGTGTGTGTTTTCCATACTTGTATAATGTGTTGATGTAAATTTTATTTTTCTCCTCCCCTCTCCCATGTATTATATGGTTTTATTTATTGTCTGAAGTTTAGAAGATCTCTCACAGTCTCATCTGTGGCTATTTATTTTGGCTAATTTATTTGATTAGAATTATTCAAACATTGCTTCCCCCACCCTTCTTAAGCCTCTTATGGGAATTATTACAGTTGGTCCACATTTTTTTCCCCCTTTGTATTCCTATCTGTCTTTCTGTTGGTTGAAAAAGTAAAAAAAAGTCTGACCATACCTGGGTTTTTTTTTCCATTTTTGGTTGGAAGATGGAAAATTGTTGTACAAAGTCTAATTTAAGGGAACTAGAATGACTTTAAAAGTTAGTTCAGTATGCCTTTTTTGTCTGGTATTATTTACATACCAGAACTGTAAAGTAATGCTGTTTGGAAGGGTTTAAATTATTGACACTGTACAGTCTTTGTGCATTGGCTCTGGAAGGAAGAGGGGCAGAGTCATAAACCTTAATTTATTTTAATAGCTGTGTGTTCTGTGATCTGGTTGCATTTATGCAGCTTGGATTTTTTTTTCTTCTGTTTAACAGTGTGAAATGTATGGAGATCATATTTTTTATACAGGTATTTCAATTAAACTTTTTTTTGTAGATAATCCATGTGATCTATTCCTTTTGATTCATCTATACTCTCCCAACTCAAGTGGCTGACTTGTAAATGCTGAAGATGGTGTTTCATGTGCTCATCACAGCCACAGGGTGATGGGAGTTGGCTAGAGGCCAACGTACAAAGGTCCTAGTAATCAGCTTGGTCCATCCCACTGATCGCCATGGGTATTGGTGTCCTCTCCCTCCATCCTTAACATGGCTTCTGACAACTTAATGGGACATTCCTGAACACATGTATATAAGAAGCTGCTTTACGCTGAGTCAAGCCATTTAGGGTCGGTATTGCCAACTCTGACTGGCAGTGGCTCTCCAAGGCCTCAGGTGGATAGAAGACATCATCTTTTAACTGGAGACACTGAGGACTAGAACATGGCTACAGAAATAAGCATAAGACCACGAACTAGCACATACATACCTCCTAAATTCTACTGTTTGCCAGCAGGCTACTATACTTCTCCCTATCATTTTCCAAGAAGTACCAAAAATATTTGGGCAAGTGGACATTTCCCTGTGGTCCTACCTGTCCAAACATTACTAAAAGTTAAGTAAAGCACCAGTGGTATTCCCTCCTCCCCCCCATTTGTTTACAATAATGCTAATAGGATGCCTCCCTTTGTTACAGCACTGCTAAGCAATACAGTTTTGGATGATCTCAAGGCTGAAATGGTATATGCTAGATGTCCTTGGACAATACCATTTCCCATTGGGTGGCTGAATACTCAATTGCTCAGGCAGTAGAAAGTGTTTGTCAACTCACAGCCAATTTATGGCAAACCTACAAGATTATCAAGGGAAGAGATGAACAGAGGGGGTTTGCCATTGTCTACTTCTGCCTAGCAACCCAGGACCTCCTTGTGGTCTCCCATCCAAACTAGCCTCTTCCATGTGCCATGCACACAGAAAGCTAGTGTAGGAAAAGCCCACACAAATCTGCTATGCTAGCTTTCCAAGTGCAAAAGGATTGCTTTTTTAAAACATGGGAGAGTTCAAACATCACTGCGAATTCACAGGCACTGGACTATATCTCTGAGACTTTACAAGGCGAAACATTACATGTATGCTTTATTTTTGTGAGATCAGCAAAACCAGATTGATGCATCTTTCATTCAAAAGAAAAGAAGTTGACCAAAATGCTGTCCTAGGTACTTCTGGCTGCATTCTAAATACACTTACTAGGGAGTCAGCCCTACTGAGCTCAGTGGGACTTGCTCCTGAGTAAAGATACTTAGGATTGCACTGTAAATGGTAATGTCAATGTAAATTCACTGCCTGCACAGCAAGACATACTATGAAAGGGGGGAAAATGCAGTCTTCTACCTCATGATGGCCCTTAATACCGTGGGGTCAAGATGACTGGCGCCTTGATGCCAGCTGCCAAAATGATCAGACGTCAGGAACATACATTCTTTTTCTTTATGCATTTTTCTACTGACATCTAGGGCTAGGCGAAAAGAGTTATCAAATGTTCTTTGAGAATGTGTCTGTCTTGGGTAAGGGTAAGCATATAGCAGATATTAAGCAAGGTAGGCAGTAAATTGCCTCCAAGCAGTTTCTCCATTCTCCCAGCTAGTTCTGTTGAGTGGAAAGCCAGAGTCATACATGCATCAAATTTTTCTAGGTCAGTATTAAATTACACGGTAGCTAGGCTGATGCACACGCACACACATACACACCTCCCTGTAAGTGCCTACTATTCTGGTAGTGTTTCCTCACTATTTTGAACTTGGATATCCCTTCTAAACTTAATCCCTGCCCCCAGCCTTGTGCAAACCATTTATTTAGTGGACGAAACTATAGAGGCCCTTCTTCCACATCAAGCTATTTGTACATTAAATTCTGGAGGTACATACATAGTGACAATTATTTCAGCAAAAGAGCCTAATTTTCTTGCCTGGAGAAAACCGTCATCTTTGCTGTCCCTAGGCATTGACCAGAAAGGTAGGATCTTTCAGTAGCTGTTTGTAACTCCTATTTCCGCTTCCAGGAATCATTCCCAGGATACCAGCGTAATTATTCATCTGCTGCTAAGGATGCTGATGTTTTGAAGAAGCTAGACATACTGGAGGAAAGCCCCTCTCCTGAAACTTTGATCACTTACACACATCTTATTTGGTCCAGCTTGGATTTCTTCTTCTCTACAACATAATAGTACTTCTGGGCCACTCTTTTCCCAAACTTGATTTGCTGCAATGTTTTGCAAAGATCACAGTAAAGCCAGGCTGGCTGCTGTGTGCGTGAGAAAATCCTTTTATTATTTTTGGCCTGCCTGTATGGCAGCCATCATCTTCCCCCAGACCACACAGGAACCATTCCCCCCTCCACATGCCTGGGGGAGGTTGATGAATTTTTTAAAAAAGCAATAATTGACAAACTGATATAATGGTACATTCATGTGTCAATTACTGGCTTGGGGGGTGGGCAGGAAAAAGTCTCCAGAAGTGTGGGTGCAGGAGATGGCTGCCACAGGGACTGGGGAAGGGACATGCTGTCTGGAAGCTCTATTGCTGCTGTACTATATCATCAGCCACAGCAACACTGGAGCCTTCCCAGGAAGACATGTGAGAAAAGTTCATTTCCCCTGATTCTTTAGAAGTCACTGCCATGAACATTTTATGAGAGACACAGAGGGACACTGGCATTTGTACTCCAGAAGGACAGACCAAATAATAGCCTACTGTCCCTCACATCTTATTTTAATCCCAATGACAAATTATTCTGGCCTCCATTATCACAGGACGAGGAGGAAGAAGAAGAAGAAGAAGCTTCTCAAAAATGAAGCAAATGAAGAACATAGAGACACTACAGATTCAGTTTAGACTTTCCAACTTCAAAAGTTTGTTCCACTTTATTCATCCCATTTTACAGATAGAAAACCCTGACTCAGGTTATGCCATCAGTCTTGAGGCCTGTCAGGAAGAGAATTCCTCAGAAGCAACAGCCAGACTTTTTGTCTCTGTTACTTCCGTTAGTCCCTCCAGTCATAAATTTTCCTTTCCTGTTGAAGACAACTACAGCATGGTTGCATTCTAAGCCTCCATAATTACCCATGCCAACTGCATACCCTTCAAAACTCTTCATTCCCAGTAACTACCTATCCCAATCCCACACAGCCTACAGCCATTCAAGCTATCAATGCTAGTCATCCCCAAAGTGGTGAATCTCACATACAGGAATTTATTATTACTTCATGCCCCAAAATTTGTTTACCTGCTATATTATTGCATGTTGGGGCTGCTAATAAATACACAGGAAAAGTGGGGTCCATAGAAAGCTGGCAACCTTATTCAGAATGTCAAGTTTCAGACATCATTTGAAGGAGGCTTACCCCCTTGTACTGGACAGTTATATCTACAAATCAACAGGTGAAGCATTTTCTAACACGGAAATGCAGTAAGTGGGCAAAAGTGTACCTGTGGAATTTCTGATTATCTGGAATCTCTTAAAGATACAAAGTCCCTGTCCATAAAGAAAAAGGCAACTCTAATTGCCATGTTGGATGCTGTGGCAGCGGGACCTCTTGGGGCAAAGAGGAGCCTCAATCCCTCAACCATAGCCTTGGGAGAGGCTCCTCTCATGCCCCAGGCTGGGAGCCCCCTACAAGGACTCACGGGGGGCCGGAATCATCCGGCACCCCTCCCGGACACCGTGTTTACGGGCCACTCTCATTGGAGCACGCCCACCATCAAATCGCCAAAACCCAATGCCTGATAGATCTAATGGGCATGATCAGACAGCACCATCTGGGAAAGGTCCCACAGTTGTAGCCACCCCATGCTGCTCTGCCACAGAAGCGGAGTTAAAAGACACTGGGGAAAGTCCCGTTCTAACTGATTCTGACAGGCCATGGACAGACTTTCCGCTGTCTGATCATGCAAGCACACTCAAGCCATTGGGATGGGCTGCCCAGTCCATCCTGACTTGGCACCATTTTTTCCCCTGCTTAGCAGTATGCACATAACCACATATGTGATCCATAGTCGCAGACTGCTGCTGGGGTTCAATTCCTCATTTATGCTCATGTGGGGAAAAGGGCAAAAAAACCCACCACTCTCTCAAACGTGCCGTCTGATCGGGCAGTGATGGGCTGAGCCCACAGCACCAAAGGATGTATGATTGTGCGACTCCGTTTCAATTTCCACCAGAGGAAATAGGATCGCTTCCCCTCTGCACCAAAATGGCACATCTGACCGCAGCCTGAAGGACACTTTTCTGGGAGTAAGAACCATTGAGGAAGACCTGACAAGGGTTTTGAGCAGACTAGTTTAGGATTGTTCTCTTAATCCTGTATTTTTGTTTAACAAAGAGGCAACTGAAAAAAGGTTCTGCAAATCCTGGAGTAGAATAGTAACTGTACTTTGAAAAATCAATGACAATGAGGATTAGCATGTTGCCTGGAAGCATACCCAAAGAACAGTTACTTTGGGCTTCTGGATGGGAAAAGGAAAGGCAGCACTTATTCAACTCTGTCCCTAGCACTACTTAAAACTGAAAGACCTCGTGCAAGGAAGAGAGCAGAAATACTTGAGCAAAGTTTAATTTTAGACAAGGCATGAGGGCCACAGTAAAAAAGAGAGAGTTGTATTAAATCAACACAGTGTTGGAATCCCATGGGAGGGGTAAGGGAAGCAGTTGGCAGGTAGGCAATTTGGAAAAGAGAAGCTACCAGGTGGCAAAGGCAACCCTACTGACACAGTGGAGATATGCACTTCATTTTTCCAGCTTTAGCCAATTAGGATTATTTTGCCAAGACACCAGGGATATTACCATAGAAATGGTGTCCATTCATAATAGTGGAATGGCATAATAGCACCAATATCAGCCAGCAGTTCAGAGGCTGCAAACCAGATTAATGCTTTCCATCATAACACCTCCACACACATCGTGAAATAGTAATGCAAAGGCTATTGTGCACTAGAGGGATTGCACTGTATTCCACACAAAAGCAGGGGAAAATGCAACTAAGCACCTGTTGAAAAAATGGGACCCT